TTTTTTTTTTGGGAACTTTTTTTAAACGTCGTTTTTGGGCGTTTGAGAACGATCTGCGAAGTCAATTTTTTTTTTTTTTTCTTCTCCGAGGTGGGAAAGGTGATTCGTCTTTAGCTCGGAACCCGCCAAGAAGAAAATCTCGCTTACGCCGGGATTCGAACCCCTGTTCTGACCAACTAGACCACCGGGGCGACCGGTCACAGATAACCGCTCCCTCGGCGAGAGAGGACGAGGTTATTATGCACGACTTTTGTTTTTGGCGGCATCAGATAGACCGCCGGTAGATGGGAGAAATCTATCCATACAACAATAATACCCAGTCACAGCTGCAGCAGCAGACCGCTCGCTACTTCCGCTGTCTGTGCGTCGTTACTTCTGTATTCACTGCTGTGGTGCGTGGTGCATGAAAAAGCGGCCGGCAGTACACAAACAGGGGGGGGGGGGGGGGGTACGCGGCAGAAAAAATGGGGGTACCCCATTATCGTACATTCTGCTGGCCCCCCTGGTGCTCAGCATAAAAGTTTCCTTAAAGCGGGGAGTTTCCTTAACGCGAGCGTCCTTAAAGCTGGGTCGACTGTAAAGACTACGCGACGTCACACGGCAGGCTCAGAAGCACAAAAGCCGGCCTCCCCGACACTTTACTTGTCGTTGGTTGAACACGACGATGTTCTCGTTCGTTGTGGATTGCGGAACGCGACATGTTCAATAAGCGGGAACTACAACAACTCCTGCGTGTAGTACTTGTATGAAAAGAGCTTAGCGCTCCCGCCGCCTCGCCTTGATGATTTTGGCGGAGACTGGCGGAGAGGCTCATTTCTTTGTGTGTACAGTAGAGGTCCCTATGTAGTTCCTGGGTGTGCGCCGAAACCTCACCGGCACTAAACCGGACACCGGCACTATTCGAAGTACAGAACGACTTGGTATTCCAGTGTGCGCTAGCCGAAAACACCGGCACTATCACGGCAACCGGCACTTTTCAACCGGCACTAAATAGGGACCTCTACTGTATTAACTAAATGGGTATGCATAAACAGCGGTACCGATCGGTTGTAGTTGTAGTTGTTGTTGTTGTTGATGTTTCTCACATTAGCTCTATTATAGACTAGTCCACAAAAAATGGGGAGCCGGTGGTCTCAAAACCCGGCACATACGACGTCGTGGGGAAACAAAACAAAAGTAGGGTACAAACCACTCGGGAAAAGAAAACAAAATGATAGAAAGAAAATAACCGCACCGACCGTTCGAGAAAAGAGTCCTCGGAAACTGATCAAAATAAAACAAAAACAAAATTAAAGGAGGACGCTTCCCACACCCGTCTAAGGAAAAAATCATAGGGTAACGTACCAGCACCAGACACGTGTCGACTTCAAAGACTCTGACCACAACCTCGTGCTTACGACTGTCCGCCT